CTCTGAGCTGAAGAAGATGAGACTTTTCATGTGAGAGGATCATCAATAACTCTTCTTTCCGCTTTGGTTCCGAAAATAACACTCGGTTTGAGCCCACGAGCGCCACGATGCCAGAGTATCACCTGTTAGGGCTGATCGATATCGCAGGATTAGCCTGTAAATCATCAGCTGTCCCGGTCCAGCCACAGGCAAACACAACACGGGACCCTGCGAGTGTTTGTGTTTCATCCCTCCGCTAACTCATCTCAATATTATTACCGTGGAGAAGCTGAGAACTTATTGATCCCAATATCCCTTTTCCACCAGGGATCTAAACAACTGTAAAGCCACTTAAAAGCTATTGATTGTGGCTTTCGAGAGCCCGGGCTGATGAGACTCATTAGGAGCAAACTGTGAACTGGACAAACCCGAGTGTTTAGGATTAGAATTCTTTTAGTAGCTACGGTCCTCGCTCTGACCCTGGTAACAATATTATAAAAGTTATAGATGTTTGCATTTATGTCCATACAGCTATACTTTGCAGAAAACAAAAAATGACTATATAAATTATATATTTACCTTAGTTTTTTGACAAGCCACTGTTTTATCATTTATTTTATTTAACAAACAAAAATATATAATTAGAAAAATATATATTTAGAAATTTGACTTATTCTATTGCTCCTTAAAAAAATCATCTAAAACATTAAATACAGTTTCATTAAGCCCAATATACAGACCTGAGAATCTGCTTATGCCTAAATTTCTTTGTTTTGCTTTTTTGTGGACATGGCTCGTTTTTGGTTTTGATTTTTGCTGGCACTGAGTTCAACTACAACATTTCGTTCCTTACAACTGGTTTGTTGTCGTTCCAGACGAACAACCAGAAACCAAAATGAGGAAACTACAAAATGGAGCAATGACACAGAAGCAATCGAGAACCACATCTTTGCTGCAATGCGCATGTTCGTTTGAAGCAATACGCCAGTTCCCTGCTTACTTAAAAAGAACATCCTCGGAGGCTTTTCAGGTCAAATAAAAGTGCTGAGGTTTGCAGTTGATGCGCATACACTTTTGTCAACAGCAGCTGGGTACTTGCTTTGGAGAGCGCCGGGCGCACCAAGATAAGGCTGCTCTCCAAGAGTCAAGCTTCCTTACTCATCTGCACTGCTCCGTCCCCTATCCAAACATTTCAGCCAGTGGCTGCTTCGACACTAGTTCTGTGCCAAGCTGTCGGATTCACGCTGTGCATTCGGTGCCGAAATGGCTGCTGAAAGGGAGATGAGACGGGACGGGAAATATTTGGATAGGGCTCGGTGAACAGTCAAAACAGCAGAAAAAGCATTTCCATATGTAGCTTCATTATCCAGAGGGTCAGTTGCCACATGTCTTACATAATGAAAAAGAAATGGGGGGGGTGGAATGTGCTTTGAATGTAGTCAGTTCAAACTAAATTCTGGTTGACCTCCCTTACCAATGGAATGAGCTCCACTCGGTTTTATGTACAATGATGTCTAGATTAGTTTAAGATGTGCCCCACAAAAGTGTGGGTCAGCTGAATGTGCTACTAGGCTAACAACCAATCAAAAATAATTAAACAACAATAATAACAAAATACAACATAGACACAATATACGTTATATTATCTATTATTTCAAGACTTGGTCTCATTACATGACAAATCAGCTCTCTCCAAAGTAAGGCAAAGACAAAGGGCCTACAAAAAAAGGCATTAAACTGTGCTGGACTCAGACTTTTTCACCAATATCTGAGATCAACTTCATTCTTGAAGATTTTAAGACTTGTAAAACTTTAGCTCTTCACAGAAAATCCACATAAAACCCAGGAAGAAATCTATTGAAAACACAGACTGGATGTCCCGGGGCTATGAGCAGGTAATGATGGGAAAATGTGATGACAACTACAACAATAAAATAAATTAAAAAGAATCTAGAAGAACCCAGGCTGCCTCGGCACCGGCAGGGAGAGGAGCAGGGCACATAAACTATCATACAGGCCCGGAGAAATCCCACTGATGAGCCGCAGCTGTACACGGCATAAATCTGACAAATGAGCCTCGACATGCACGCGCTGTCAACGCGGCACGCAGGACTCCAGTAAAGTGAGTAATCACCGTTTCGGAGATCGAGGCGGGGCGCACGAACCGGCACAGAGGTGGATATTTGCCGCATCTAAACTATGTAAACAAAGACATTTGTGAGATGCCTGCGTATGCGGGACACAGCAACTAAGTGGAGGAAACAGCAGAGCATGTGGAAGCTTTGATAGCAAACTGGAGGAGTGACACAAGATTCTTGAACATGAATTTCTGACGCAACTTCAAACATTTCCATTAAACACCTTTGTGGTCAGCAACTTAATTTTTTTTTTTTATCACTTTACCTTGTACATAGTTATCAATTTAAAAACAAAAAACAAATGTGTCACTGAGAAAAATGTATATATGTGGGTAACCTGCAACTGTTGAGCAGAGAAGTTGAAGGTTTGACTGTTTGAGGACTGACGAGAGCAGACAACATCTTTTAATATAGATATGCAAACCTCATCTTTCCAGTGAATATGATATTAACTGAATCCAGATTGAAAACACTAAAATAATAACACTAAAATAACCCACGATTACATGTAAAATACTGGGAAATAAATAGCCATAATCCTTTAAGGGCAGGTTGAGTAGCAAGTCTGCTATCTTCATTCTTTCCATCTTTTTTTAAGATCAGGCATTTTTCCATTATACATAAAAAAAAGAATGAAGGTTTATTTTTGTCTTTTCTCATGTCCCATTTCAAATATTTTCAGTCCTGGCCACAACAACGTACAGAGGAATGATGACTTCAACGAAGGTTTAGTCTGTCTTGGCTTTCTGCTCTTCCCCCCCGATTCAGTTTCCCCTCAAACAAATGGAAAAGCAATTCAAAAAGCTCTCACCGTTTCCACACGGGGAACATTTCAACCTCACTTACAACTGAATGCCATGTGGCCTGAAAGTCAAGAGGCCCGAAATTCACATTTCACACTGAAATAGAAGCACAAATGATAACCTAATGCGGATGATGCTAAATCATGGCCTCAACTTCCCTTTGGTTATTTAGGTTATGCTGAAAGAGCAGATTTCTGCCTCTGGATGCTTCGTTTCTCTAGCTAACACGTTTTTGTGACCAGAGAGCAACATCTTTACCGGCATTAGAGGGACGAGTAAACATCGCTTATCTCAATGTTGGAAATGTCATTTTATTTAGCTTCTGTAAAGTTTAATTTCTTCTTTTTCTTTTTTAAACAAGACTGTAAAGATTCTGAGAATGTTAGATACAGATGTTTGCCAGGACCTGCTAATTATATCTGAGCAGTTTCTGCCCGATACTCAGCTTACAGAACTGTTAAATGCCAAGACTGCACAAACTTGGACACAATTTTCTGCTTGTTAAGCTCATTTCTGCTTTATTTTCACAGTGTGCTGAACTAAGAATTTGTTTTGCGCTGAATCGTTACCTTCAGGATTGAAATCAATTGTTCTTGTATCCACAGTCACTCCCATTTACCCTCAAATAGTAGGATAATTTGTCGTTTACAATTTTAACGCAGCAAGTAATGTAGAAACCACTATATCATAAAACAGTCACGTACAGGTTTGAACATCGGGTCCTGAAGCAGTCAAATATTTTCGGTCAGCCTTAAAATCCTCAGTATGTCAAAATCAAAGATTGATCCACCACTTTTAACTCACTCAAGCCTCAGGTAAGGTGAAAAAAAGAGCCCTGCATGATGACTGATCTTCACTGGCTATAAAATATAAGCAGTTTAAACTTTAACTTAAAACCAACAAGCTTACTTTCAAAGTTAACTTTAAGAGTTAATGCCAGGTGTATTTTTTATTTTTTAAGAGAAAACTCAAGAAAACTGAGCTCATGTACAGTATGTATAAAGTAATTAACAGAGTTTGGCATGGATAGTGAAAGCCTGTATGGTCTAGCGAGCAAATGCTTAAAGAGTAAATCCAGAAATGTGGAAAGAGTTCTGTGCTTTGTGCAGGGGAGCAACAAATCAGCTCGAAATGTTTGGACAGCAGTCCAATGGGGTGAGAGGTCAAGGAAAACAGAAACTCAGTTTGAAGTTTTAAGTCTGGATGATGAGATTTGGTCTAAACCGTGACTAAATAGAGCTGTGCACCACAATTACAGAAGACAGCCTTTGGTTTTTGACCTGGTTTCTCATTGGCGATGGCAAAAACACGCTGACATTTCCTCTCCAAAGCCTTAATGGGAGTAATTCCACACTGGAGGAAACTACAGCCTCTCTTTTCCTTAGATCTGAGGAAAACTCTCCATGGGTACGAGCAGCGATGTGAAGTAGTTTTCTTCCCAGCGTTCTCAGAAACTTGCAATGAAAAGGGCGATTATCTAGTTTATTCTGTTTATTCTGCATTCCAAAAACAACCTCGGCTGCAGAGCAAAAAGAAGGGGAAAACCTTGTTCTCGACAAACCTTGAGACGAGTATAAAACAGAATTACATCATTTCCCCGGACCTTCAGAATCCAACCAATAGAGACTCCTCCACAGATAGCCCCTGATAAGAGTGGCTCTGTGCTCCAGCGGTCAAGCTGGAGTAGGGCTTTTTTTATAGTGGTGTTTCATCATTCTTATGTCTTATGGGAACTTAATGACGTCTGATGTCAAAACGCTCTTGCTTTTTCCAGAGCATTTCATTTAATATGCATGTGTATTGCAGAGTTAAGGGTTTAAAGAGTCAACATGACTTTTCAAACAGCTTCTTTTTGGTTTATCCTCCCGACTGTAGGATTATGACCACCGTCACATTACAGGGGAAGGCTCTGCATGATGCTACATCCTTTTCTTTGACTGCGAGTTTGACGACTAGTAAGCATGGGTCCTTTGTGAGGATGCCACTAATTATGTCAAATAATTCCCCGAGCAAAACGGAACCATGCTGCTGTGAATCCGACATTCCGCAAAATAAAATAGCCACGCTCCTCAAACACACTTTAAACCAACAGAAATGCCACAAATGTGTGCTTGGAACTTACCCTCCTGGTGTTGTCCAGAACTTTGGGGTCAGGCTGACCATAGGTGGGGGGGTTGGCATGTGGGTCGTAGCCCAGCCTGGACAGCATGGGAGCGATTACAGCCATGTCCCTCACCACATCAGCGGGAATCTTTCCCACCCACTTGGACAAGGCCTCCACGTTGACGGGCTTGATGACTTGATCTGTGGATCTCTCCACCCTTACAGAAATGAGGAAAAGAAAAAGAAAAAAGATCAAAATGTCATTACTGAAGGCAAACAGATTCATTTGAGCCTTATGTTCTAAACAGTGGAAAAGCTGAAGCCCATTTTAAAGTGTGGTGACAACATTAATTGAAGCATTCCATCTTTCAACTAGGTTTACATTTACCTGGATCACAAAACCTAAGATGGACTCCTGGCATCTGTTTCCATCAGGCTATTTATACAGTCAAACTCTCCAAATGAATTGTATACATTCTTATCTGGCTTAATCATTTATTTAGTCTCCAGTTCTGACAGGTCTGACAAAAAGGGAAACACTAGAAATACTGGGTGCAGAATATGAATGCTTCCCTATGGGAGGACTTCTAGACGGCAAAACAATATTAGATATGAGAGAAAATGTATTTTAAACTCATGAAAGAGGGAAAAAAATCTTTGATATTCACAATGAATATTAACTATTAAACTCTTTCCCTCCTTTCATTGTGTGGATTAATTATTCGACCACTCAGTGGTTTGGCGCAGCTGGACTTGCTTTGTGAATCATGTCAAAAAGAGCAAATCCTGCGATTGCAGATTCGTTTGAATTTAGAATTTTCAGGTCAAAAAGTGCAGCAGAGCTGCAGTACCTGGTGTACCATCCTGGTCTGGCAACAAATGCCCCACAGCCTCTCTAAACTTTTTTAAAAGCCCTTGCTTGACTCAGTGTTTTTCCCTTATTCCGTTGCTTTATTCACAGTTACTTGTAGTAAACTTACTTACTGAGAATAACAGTCAAAGCACAAATTCATGGCAAAATGTCTGAATTAGTTTTGGACGTTGATCAGTTGACACAGAGAGGCTGCTGGTCCATGGAGATGTGATTACAGCATATTCATAGATCCCCATTTACTGAATAAGAAAGAATAATTATAGCATTGTTGGTTCTTTTCCCAATAAAATACTTTGAACTACACGAATTAGTTTTAGGAGGATTTATAAAAGTCTGATTGTACCTTGGGGTTTTAAAGCATGTTTAAAGCTAAATGAAGACACAAATTTTAAAGACAATTAGTACAGCTGCCTAAAAGCAACAGAAACAAACAAAAACTAATGTATGGAATTTGTCTCGAAAACAACAGCAGGATCAGTCTGGTTTTCATTTTATCCCTGAGATTATCTGTGTTTCTTATCAGTAGAATCCATGTGACAACTGAATGCAAAGCATTTGACAATTAGTCAAACTACACACAAATTACAACATTGATTATATGCCAAATGTAATTTAATAAGAATTATTTCACACTTCCATGACAACAAGAAAAAAAACAAGATTCACCACTAAATCAAATCCATGTATTAAATTCTGCCCAAATACAAGTGGCACGATCTAAAATAATTGACTATTTCCCAAAAGGCAGCGAGTGTGAAAATGCTTATGTCTTCCTGGAATAACAGGAAGAAATAAGCATGAGCTTATAATATAAGCATAAAGCTTATAATAAGCATAAAGTCAATCCAAGGAGATTCTTTTTTTTTTAAATCCCTGGCTGCTGCTAGCTTTTCCAGGTTGCCGACTCCCCCACGCCTCTATTGACCACCTGCTACCCAGCATCTCTGTTCTTATGTTTCCTGTCTTACTCTATACTTCAATGTAGCAATTCACTTTCCCCTAATCCATTTACTTTGCAATTGAATCTTTAGACTGTATGGGTATAGTCTCCTGCATGATTAATAGAGTGAGTTGGTTTTGTTATCTCGGGAGAATGCTGGAGATGCTTTCTGAAAGGTGGGCCGTGATCCAAATGACCACTCTAAAATAAATGGGTAGGGAATCACTTTAGGTAAATCTAACAAAGCCCAAGAGGCAGTAAAGTCTTCTGAGCAGCTCACTATAGTGTTAGATGCAGGCAAAAAAAACTAAGAAAAAAAGACATAAATAAGGTGGGTGCAGTTAAGGGTTAGGAGCCTTTGTGTGGGATACAAAAGCTTCTCACTGAAAGGCGGTCACTATAATTATTGTACCACATTAAAAGATGTGATGAACTCTAGCTAAGTGAATGCATATATTTCCTGTTGAGTTACCAGATGTCCATCATTTTATGTATTTCTTATTTCCACTTTACGGTTGCCCTGCTTTGAATCCAGACTTCTCACCTTTTTAACATGTTTAGGTGACTTCACAAGCCATTCCCGAGTAAGAATCAGAGTTCGAAGCTGTGGCCGAAGATTTCTGCTTTAAATCCGCAAAACACCACCCTTAAGCAAAAGGTCAGGCTGTCCCCTGTGCAGACTTTTTAGAGGGACCGGCACAGGCCAGTCTGGACCAGCTGCCAGGTGAAGCCTTGCCAGATGGGTGGTGGTCCTGCAAGAAGCTGGCAGGCTTCAGACCGGTTTTGTTTGTGTGTGTGAAAATCAGACTGTGTAAGGTCATGTTATATCCAACCATGAGCATGTAAATCCATTTCAGGGCTCCCTGCTTTGGCTGGGCTGACCCAGGAAATGAAAGGGACAATGGAGTCTTCTCGAAGAGGCAAACTAGCACTGTTCCAGCTACTCACCTGAGAGACGTTTCAAGAACAACACGGCGCGTCAGAATGCTTATTTTTTAGTGTTTTTTCTCTCTGTTCACATTTCATGTTTTTAGCAATAACCCTAGAACAACAGCTTCTAACTTTCCCCGGCCCAAGATTAATGTGTATAAATCACGAATGATGCCATGTGTGACAGTACTGCGGTGGTACAGAAAGGATGTTGCAATTAATCTGCTGTCGATATGTCGCAGAGCCAACCTAAACAATTATACTTGCTCAGTTTGTCAGTAGTTTCTGACAAACTGATTTTCAACACATTTGACTGAGAATCAGGTTCAACAGTTCAATCAGGTTCAACAGCTCTTTCAGTTCTACATGCAATTTCTTTCAACTGCTCTCGTTTGCGTAAAGGGACGGATTACCAACTTAGTTTTTTTAGAAATACAAACAAGATGAATTCGTCTTTTTTTTCTTTTGAAACTGATTGCATAACTTTTTCCATTATTTCATCTTCTAAAATCTGGAAAAGAATAACCAAAGAAAACATATCCTGCAACACATTGTTGCTGGGAATGTTTAAATATAGCAACCATGTTCAGCAAGTAAATAAAGCTTTTTTTTAATCCGTTTTCTTTTTTCACACATTTAAAAAGGTGCAAACATCCCCAAGAGAAGTAACTCCATTATTGCCATCAGTTTTTTGTGAAACCACACCACTCATTATCTCCTGCCTCCCAAACTGCAACCCACTTTCAGAATGATTAAATTAATCAATATACAACTCAAATAGAGTGAAAATAAGACTGTGAGGTTTATTTTATGACCTAATAGTAGACGCTAAACTGAAAAGTGTAATATCCAGCATGGTGAAGCCATGAACCTAATTGTTGTAAAAATGCTAATTGGAAAATGCATCACGACCGATTCACTCTGGACCTTCCCATGCTATCACATACACTTGAAATGCAAACCTTCCTTATTATTCAACTCCTAAGTCAAACTAATTTGCTCACATCGATTTGTATCAAAGGACAGAACATAAACAGAAAAGGACAACTCACAGGTTTCCCATGTCTAAATTGAAATGAATGTTAAGATAAAGTAAATTCATCGCTTACAAGCAATACACACACAGCCCATAATCTTGTTTGCCTCAGATGAAATGTGACAGAAGCCTTCTTGCTTGGCACATGTCCGCCCCCCTTTCACACTGGCGCTCCTGATGCCTCAACCTACTTAATAATTAATCTCCGAGCCTCCTTTTAGCCAAGGTTGGTGTTGTGTATCGCCAGTGGTTGATAAGGCAATGACATGGAGACATCAAGATCACAAAGAGGGTGAATTTAGGGAGGAGCAAGTGAAAGCGTCCCGTTCAAGGATAAGTGATGGAGCAAGTCTCCTGGTGAAAGAGACCGTCCATTAAATCAAGGCAAGGTAATTGATGGTAATGCTTAGGCAGCGTCCCACTCTAAGGCCCGGCTGGGAACCAATAAGGATTTTCATCTAGATAGAGACGCCACGCAGTGCGATGATGGAGAGAGGAAGTGCTGCTGGTTGCAGTGTGGAAGAGAATTCTTCTAAAAGGTGTAATGGGGGGTTGACATGGATGCACCATAGATTACTTGAGAGTACTTGAGTAGGCCCGGGCGATATGAGGAAAATCAGGAATAAATATATATCTAGATATGGATCAAGATATTTTTTAATAAGCTCCAATATTTTAAACTATACAGCATGTAATATGGCACTGGTGTACTGTAATCAATCAGACCATGCATGTTGTTTTTGGATTTTTTAGTTGAAGACAAAATCTGAATGAAAAAAATCAGAAATCTAAATGTTTTATTGTAACCATCAGTTGCACAATATTGTTTTTCACTCATGAAATGTTTTCTGACTAAACTAAAAGTTTGAATAGTGACTATATATCCACTGACCCAGAATAGTCACATGTTTCAGAGCTTCTCTAAACCATTTACATTTGCTGGAAAGGATTTTAAACAACAAACCACAAAAAGGGATAAACCTGGTAAATTGTGTCAACCCTGTACAACAAAAGTTTAATCACAGGTGTTGGAGCATCTCAAACCATTTGAATGACCATGAGTCTTCATATGTGCACCACATAAAGTGGCAAAAAGGAACTGGGAAATGATGCCAAGTTGAAATCAAAGAAGCTGATGTCCAAATGCAGAAAGATTATTATTTGAATGGCATTTTACTCCATGATAGAGCCATTTCAACCATCGTCCACTGAAAAACTCCCGATACATCGAATATATTCGATACATGCTTAGCCCTACTTGAGAGGAGGTGAGGCAAGCTCACAAGAAAGCCTACTTGTAGCTGGTTGCCTTCCCTTCAAACTGTATTAGGACTCATTTAGTCAAAGAGTCTGATGTTGGCCAAAGAGCTTTTGACAGCTGATATGCAGACTGCATAGTCAATAAGGACTGCTGCCACGGCTAGGAAAATGTATTTCAAACAAATGGCACCGTCATTTAAAATACAACAGAGGTGCCAACATTTGTGAGCACTGAATACATTTTATGGCCTTTTAAAAAGTCTAACCCAAACCCTACCAAAGTACGGGTGCCTGGTTTAAGACTATCAAGTCTTAACATATTTATGACTGACTTCACAATCAATTATCGAGCCCTTAAATGTGCATCAACCTGTTAGTGACCAGCCAACTTCGGTTCTTGAAGGCTTATTGTAGCAAACATCCCGACCCAGCTAATATCTACAGGATATATAATGATGTCACTGTTTTGTACATCTGATTAAAACACCATTTTCAAACTGACATCTGAATGGAAAGCAGTTTGCAACACTACTACAATGAATATATACCCACTAAAGAAATGTTAAACAATTCAAATAGAAAGCATTGATCTGTGGCCAACAGACTCCAGAAAAAGAGACGGCTTTCAGTTCTGAGTTGCTGCTCTTGCAGCAGAACCGATCTGAGAATATCAGTTGGAGCTCAGGAGCAGTGATGGATCTGCCTGTAACAGCTATAAATTCATGTTCAGTGTACCAGTTCAGGTCCCTGCTCATTAATGTTTGATTGGAATCAATTAGTGGAGGGATGGCATGTGCTAGAAATGGCCATGGAAATCCATCAGGATGACTCCTTTCTTATGCAGACATTGTCTTTTGTCTTACCCTCATGTTGTCTGGTGCACCAGACTGCACAAGCACAAAGCCTACACTCTCGGTCTTTGTTTCAGTCAACCGTGACCACTAAAACGATGCTCCACTGCCTGAACACAGCCGACTAAACAAATGGTATGAGAGACAGGGACGTAGGCCTGTCTGAGAGCCTCAAAGGTCATTACCGTTGGTCTGTAGTAGTTCAGCTTGAAGTACAACTGAAGAGTGTGTATAATGTCTCAACTTAACCCACAAATCACTCTTACCATGCTTGATGGTACAGTCCATTTCACCGCCTGAAACAAGATAATAATATTCGACTGTCTAAACCTTAATATATTAACCAGATAAATTGTTATTTGAGGTTTTGAAAAGACATACAAACAATAGTACAGAAGCCAAACAGCCTCAGCGGGACTTCGACTATCAATAGGCTTTTTTAAAGTGAGCTAAGAGTTTCTTTTTATTCTATCCAGTTACATGTTCCTTGTCCCTCACACTCACCACACAAAGCCATTCAATAAATCAGATTCAATCAGTCTCAGTTATGGGTGTACAACTCCAGTCCTTGGGGGCCTCTGGCCTGCAGGCTTTGGGTGCCTCCCTGCTTTTACGCACCTGATCCTGACTGGCTCCATTCATAATCACCGAAGCTCCGCCCTAGCCAGCTAAGGATGTGACCAAGGTGCGTTAAAGCGGGGAATCACCAAAACCCTGCAGGATAGCAGCCCTCGAAGAGTGGAGCTTGACACGCGGGATCGAACTGATCCGCACAACTAGTATTCACCCAAACCTTAGTGGACTTAATCCCTGAAAAATGGAAATATTTATTGATTCGTTCTTGAGTCATCTGGTAGCATCGATTGCTCTACTTCATTATGTGACCTCCCCAACAGCTGGTACTTCCCAAATGATCAGATTACTCTGACATAAAACAGACTACAGAAGAGACTTGTGCTGAGCAAGACGTATTCAGACAATTTTATATCTGTGTATATCTGGTCAGCTAACTGATTAAATCTGTCCATTCCTTTTAACTTGACATTGCTCAACACGGAACACGCTGATCTCTTCTTAAAATACCTTCATTGCAAAAACATTGAAACTGTGGAGTAGTAGAAGAGGTAGAAGGGAATGAGGCCAATTGAAAACACAAAGCTAGATGAGGGAACTCAACCCACACTATTTACAAAAGAGCTGGGAGGGTTTTACAGGGAAAACTGCTCAACAGATGTAAAGCATTAGAACTATAACGGTTTTATTTGCAGACAATTGCAAAATGTGGACCCAACGTCTCTGGAGGATATGGAGTGCTTTCTGGTGATACGTGGCAGGAAAGGCGTCATAACAGAGGGGGGCAGGGGCAGGGAGAACGACACGGTCAGAGGCAAGGAATGGGGCAGCCCCCCCTCTGGGTTTCTTCGACATCCAGAGGCTGACCTCCCAAATCAGCGAAACCAAAACAGCTCTAACATCAGCCAGAGCCATTACGAAATGCTGCCTTGAGCAGAGTGGGGAAGACATATTCTCAAGTGTTTCAAGTCACTTATAAGTAGGTTCTTCACTGCGCACAGGAGTGACTTGTTTTACTTCCAAATTAAATGTTATGTCGGAAAGTCTGATGGCGTTGCGAATAAGGATATATTTGAAGGTCATTGTTTAATTCTCTGGTTTACATTTTTAAAAGGGGGTATTCCATTGGGATTTCACACACTGCTTATCCAAGTTTACTTTTTAATCAAGGTTATTAGCTCATGCATGCTATGCAGTTCAAAACTAAGTAGACATGCAAAAGCCTAAGATAACTCTGACTGCATGGTGTGATATATGGCAGGCCTGGCTTGCCATGTGGAGCTTGTGAGCCTGGTGCCATCTGCAACTTCTCACAATAAATATTGACTTAACCGCTATATTCTAAGCAGTGATCTATTCATACGTGGAGGGGAACTGAACAAAAGCCTCCATTGGTAAAGCGCCTCATGCATGCATGGATACATGCATTACCACATAAGACAGTTTCCAACAGCTGCATTCCAAATGGGTTAGGTAATCAAAATATCCAGAGGGAAGAAGACAAACTGAAAAAGAATCATAGCATGAAGAAGACTGCTAATGATTCAGCCTGTCCTTACTGGCAGTGACCTACTTGAAACGTAAGAAATAACTACATTATCCCTGAGCTACAGGCCAATAACTTCTGATGTATAAAAAAAAAAATCAACTTAACCTTAATATGACAAACAAAAAGTAAACCACTAAACCAATTTAATAGCAATAGTAAGCATGAATTTCATTAAGATTATTAGGGAGGTAACATTATACCAGCTGTTTCATCTGAATACTATTTGTTCTTCCTTGATTACCAAAACAAAAAAACAAAGAAAGAAATCAAGTCCAACACCATCCTTGTTTTCATTAAAAGTATGAACAACAAACACAGTCAGGGCTGCAGGGTGTTGGAGACTGGTAAAAGGAAGAAAGAAAAAAAAAAGCAACTAAATAAATAAAATCAAGATGTCAACATTACTTACTTTGAGAGGGAAACTCCTCCAGCTTTCCCAATGAGCTCCTCATGGTGGAGGACCGCTTCATTCCAAGGAATGTCGAGGAATTTCAGCAGTGTCCGCATCCATTTTTCAGGATGCAGGACCAACTGTTCATAGTGCACAGGTAGACATTTGTCTGCGGCCTCCAGGCACTGAGTATACATCGTCTCAATTGCCCGATTCCACTTGGTCAGGCAGTCTCGGTAGCTGCCCAGGTCAAAGCCTGCAATTGTCACTTTCCGCGAGATCATGGAGTGGACTGAGGCCCTTCCATCGCGTATCATGAGCACAAACTTGGCACGGGGAAAAATCTTGGCCAGGTAAGAAAGCGACTTCAGTGCAAAAGGGTCCTTATTACAGAGGAAGTTGGCAGGCTCGCCGTGTTTGACGATTATTTCCAAGAGAAAGGCTTGCATCGCGGCGTCCAGCACCTCGTCCGTCACACCCGCCTCATCCAGGCGCATCTTCTCCCTGCCCGAGCGGCTCCACATCTGCTTCATGGCCAGGATGCGCGGAATGACGCGCGTTTCTTCACCGCAGCGCACCTCTGGGTGGGCGTCCAGCATGGCTCGCATTAGCGTGGTCCCACTTCGGGGCACGCCACCTATGAATATAAGCGGCATGTCCTTGTTGTAAACAAATGGCGTGCTGAGGTTCTGGCCTGTCCGTAAGGTGGTGCGCATGCTGCCCCCGATCGCCGACAGAGGCAAGATTCCGCCCGGCTGGCTGCGCTCTTCGATGCGATGATGGCACTCCATGGCATGACGGCCGAGATAGAAGACGGTGACCGAGCTGATGACCAGACAGGCCAACAGCAGGTTCTGCTTCAATTTGCCAATCATGTCGCGGGGATCTCAGACAGGGTAGGAAGATATCACCACAGGGGATATTTAGTGGTGGAATGGATGGCAAAGATGCTCTTATGGACAATCACGTTCCCCACCCTTTATGATTGTTTGCAGGGAACCAAGCATGGATCGAGCTCCCTGGTGCACAGCAGTCGCTGAGTCCCCGGCTCCATGAGGCCTGCACAACACAGAACATACAGTTAATTCTCATTATATAATGGAAGAACATTATGCACGCAAAGTTACCAATGAAATCTGAGCAAAATGTGCCATTTTATGTTAGAAATATTACCACAACTCAAGCAACTGTACTGTCATTAATGTATGCACATGAAACAGTCTCAAACACTTCTCCAAGCACATTCATTTATGAGTAAGCGCCAAATCCGTTAATGTGACAGGTAATTTCATCTCAGGCTGACATTATTGAGCGAAACCAGTCCAAACACAATTATGACAATGAATATGCCACCACAAAAACAAAATGAACTCACAGTTAGTACCACAGATTGAAGGCTCTCTGAAGATAAATGATGAACACTTGCAAGGAGCAATACACTGCTTATGCAAAACATATTTTCAGTTCACCAGAGACTTACTTTTTTCCCCCTGCTAAACAACACACTGGTTTTGATTCTCTGCTGGTACATTCATCCTCTGACATTTAGATGGTCTTCTCTCATTCTGATATGGATAACCATACAATCTATTTTTGACAAAGTGGGACATATGTGCTGGCACACAGGAAACACATATGTCACATATCAAGTCAACAAACTGGCTAACGGCTATTTTGTTGCCAGGAAACAGTTCAGGCATCACTTGTATTTTTGTTCTTTTCATTTAAAAATATTTTATTTAAAAAAGCCTGTTCTGTGTGGCAAATATACTTACAGTTGTGTAGAGCAACCTAGAATAAGAGTTTCTATGAATTTTGCCACCTTGAAGCTACTTTTGGTCTTGGGATTATTTCTTAACACTAAAATAAATCTTCACCAGGTTATATTTAACAAGTGTGCAAAAATGTGACAATATAAAATGGGCTAAAGGGAAATTTCATCCTTTCATAAAATGTAATGTTAAACAAAATCTGGACAGTATGGTAGCTTCCTGTAATTCTAAAAGACATATAGGCTCACATCAGGGCTATTTCAGCCAATGCTTTTGACATCTACATACAGTGGCTGCACTCAGTTGCTACAAGAGGTTCTAAAGTTAACTACACTTGACTGAAAATAAATATAAGGCATCACTGCGCAATTATTGCCCAAAACTGAATGCTTTCACTTCCATAAAAGCCAGGGCTGAGAAAATCCTTGCACTTCATTTGAACTGCTGTCAGATCACACATACTCCACGTCTCATGAACATGATGGTTAACAGGCTCTGTCAGCATTGTTCTGCAGCAGTGCCTTAGCAGGGACTCCGACATCACTTTGTGGAAGCCTGCTGTTCGTCACAGCGCAGCAATGAAGACAGAGCACATGACTCCTCTTTCCCGTGGCAGAATTGTTTGGATGCACAAGACACTGTCAGCCCCTCTGTTTAAATTCAAGATACTATCAGCAAATGTGTTCCTACAAGAGCTTGATGACGGATAAAGAATATATTATTACATCCCAAAGATGCAGAATATCAATATTCCAAAATGAAATGACCCTATTTGGCCTAACATATTACAACCACAGGCATATTAACAAGATTAGCATTCCACTTTAAGAAAGGAATGCACCCCTAATTAATACAGCTCAGATTAGCACTGTAAAATTAACAGTTTGTTTATAAAACACAATATTCAAGCAGAAAATGTGCAGCTCCAGCTAAACTAGCAATTAGATTAGCATCACCAAAATAATTAGCATTTAACTTCCTTTGATTAGTGAATGGTATGAATGTAAACCTGGATTCAGGTTTAAAAAATGCATTGTGTAAAGAGATGAAGGAAGAACAACAGCATCCACCTATGCCAGTTTCTGACAGAAAATTAGCTTAAAGTAAGAGGCATGCTTTAAGGCCATTCGCAGATACCAAAATAGAATGGTTCTGCACCATATCAGTCTGTGCTTGCACATATCAGGAATAGCAGAATAACAGCAGCACTAGTTAGAGCGACCTGCTCTGTGAGGCTAGCTCTCCTTTATATTACACCAATGGCACATCTGTCCCACCTTGAAATGTCACATGGTCAAAAGACCTACAGCATTCTGAGAGGGAAAAAAACAAACAAACCAGCTACTAGGAATAGAGAACTACTGGAACCTGACTTGACTCAAACAGGCCTTAAACACACAACTTACGAGGGGATCTGCACCTTAGATTTGTGTGGCAGATACCTCAATGAAAAAGGTTTGAAGGATCCAAGGTGAATCAAGATATGGGCATGTAGGATCCCTCAATCTGCACTGCATTTAAATCATTTCAGTCAGGCTGGAACAGACCAGGCCAGCACATCCCTCTACCATCTGTTTCCCCTCTTGACACCGTGTTGCCAACTTCTACTCAGGAAGTTGCAAATGCCTAATGACACAACTGAGTGTTGTAATTCCGAGGAAAACATCTGTTGACTCATAAGCCTTTTCGACATAGTAGTTGCAAATTAATGACACAAGAAAATATATTGTTGTTCACATTAGGGGACTCCATTCTCATAGTGATTTGGTAATTCAGAAATGATACAAAAATGGAAGCTCAGCATGTGTCTGAAACCAAATCAAACCAGCACAGCAGAATCAGCTGAGCGAAGACTTTCCCTTACACACTTACCGTATTTTGCCTTGCGGTAGCACCCCCACCCCTGACTCAAAGCCACCAGTAGTGGTTTAACTCTAACTCCTCATGCCACCGCTGTAGCTTTACAATTGTCACCAATGTGCAATGAATGCTCATTTATTCCAGACGTGGGAAAAGGCCTATCGTTGCCCTAGTAAGAAGCATTTCGCAACAAACCGTTACAGCTAAATCCTCACGTTAAACACCTCGTGAGGAGCTTATGAAGGTCTAATCTACAGATACAGTAAATGGAAGTCTTGTAAGAATTACTGAGGAAAGAAAAAAAAAAAAGGACAATGCTTAACATGTAGATTCATTTCTTCCTGTTGTGCCGTTTCTCCTCTGTCAGTCCACCCACACAATCTCACATCTTTGTCTTCGCCATCATGATTCAAGTGTATGAGGGAAGAGAGAGTCTGAGAGCATGCCTGGCTGTCAACAGCACTGGTACAAAATGGGCCCAGTATTTCCCAATGATGTGTGCAAGTGCATTTAAAAAGGAGTTTACTTACTGATTCACTTCTTCATTTAGAGATTAGCAGTCTTGAATGTTAACGGCAAGTTTAGGGTTTCTTCAGAATTGAACCCAATAAACTCAATAATGACTGGACAAGACAATTGTTACTGAAAAATATAGCAATTTAATATCCAGTGGGAACAAAAAGGAGTTTCACAATGGAAAAAAGAAGAAGCAAACGGGTTGCAGAAAATTGGGATAAAATTACCCACAAAGGTGAGACACAAAGTGGCAGATGTGAAAGTCCAGATGAGTCACTCCTGTGGTCACATGGTCTTTAAGATATGAAAATAATAGAAAGCTCCATATGACTTTACAATGAGGACCCAAATTGCTTTCTATGAAACGTGAGATGTGGCAACATTATACAATTAGTAAAATTATGAGCCAGTAAAAAAAAAAAAAAATGTGCAGCCATCATTCAACACATTTTTCCCAATTGCCAAAGCCCATTCCAAGATTCAGAGATTTATCAGGCCTTAATCCATCCATCCATCATCTATACAGACTTCAGCCCTACTGAGCCCTTTTACGACATGCTGGATAAGAGTTTATAGAGGACTTCCCACTTGTCAAACATTTAAAAAGTGAAAACCAGACGTTTCATTTTTTGTTGTATTGTAAACTAGGAAAGGAATAAGTAACATAAAAGAAGACAAAGATCGGCTCCCTAAGAGGTGGCGTTTCCTGGCAGCGTGGCTGATAAACTGCAGTTGAAATCCAAAGCAGGGTCGTGTTACACCTCACACCGGGGCTGAAATGTGTTTGCGTTCAAATTAATTGAGCCTCCTCTCTCCTGTTACTGATACATATCCTTCTTGGAGGATATTTTTTCTCATTGATCTGTTAGGGGAAAATGTGAAGTTGATGCTTCTCTCCATGGAGTAACCGGTTTGGTGAAACCAAATGATAGACACTTAATAACGAGGACAAATGTCCTCATAAAGCCCTGATCAATTTTGTGACAGTGGTAAGAAAAAGAAACAAGAGTGAAACATCAAGAGTTGTTGTTTTTGTTTTCCAAGTCAGTTCCATGCGCAGAAGAAATTGCTGCCCTCATTATAGCCTGTAAGTCACCCTCAACCTCAAAGATCTGCCCAAGAACCTCAACGTCTTCCTTTCTTTCCATTAAAGGTGCCACAAGCCGGTCAGGGTGTGCAGCTGAAAGGCAGATTTTCCTTGTGCACACGTGCCAATTTATTTCTGACAAACTAAATATTCCGTACCTCATTCCCGAAAAGCAAAAAATGTCCACAGCACGGGTTAACTGGACAAAAGGTATAGTTACAGTCCAACCTATTAGTCAAAGACATCTGCTATAATATGAGACCTCCACTCACCTGCTACATAGTCCAGTGTGCATCACTGACATTTCTTAACTGTCTTCATCCAATCAGCTTTGTTATGCATTTTCTTGGTCTAATGGGAACAATCCATTTACAAGAAAACTCTATTGACCTGGTTGGCACTGGCACTATTATGCCGCTATAACATATCTGTAATGATACGATCTCAGATTAACAACCATAAAATCCAGCTAACCTGTGTATAACAACACAGTAAAAAGTTTTTAAAACGCTCTCAGGGGTTAAAAACTGTATTTGAAGGTGAACAGGCAAACAAAAAAGAATTCCCAGCCAACATTTAATAAATCATTTGACAACTCGGTCAAAAGGAGAAGAATGCTCCCAGGCAAGACAATTTTATGCAAGTGAAAACAGGATAAGTGTGCGCGAAAAAGTCATAGCAACTGTAACTCTGAATCCCGGCATTATCTTCAGGGATTGAAGTGCAAATTTACAAGGGATCAGGGTAATCCCAACCATCCTCCTCCACTCTTTGAATGAACCGTAAATCAACTTTGGCTCCCCACAGAAATCCCTGGGGTACTTCTTTTTCTTACTTTTAAGTGGTAAAAGTTGATGGTACTCTAGAGAGAAAACGTTTGTTTGACTACAGCTACATGTGACTAAGCAGAGCAGCAGAAGGCCGAGAGGATGATCCACTCTCTGTAACAACCAATCAGCGGGACAGTGGGACAGGGTATGGGGCTGGGGTGGGGGAGGTTGGGTGAGAAAAACCTCACTCACATAAAGAACTCTTCCATCTTGTTTGTTTACATAAATATTGTAAATGAACTTTTAAAGAGACTTGGCATATCCAGAAAACCAAAAAAATCTATTTTATGGCATCCTGTGCAAACACATTGAAATGTGGATGAAGAAATAATAAAGTCCCAGATTGCAGAACAATGTGTTACACTGAATGTAGTTTCTATGCACATTTGCGGTAACAAGTGAAGTAATATCCTGAAACAGTGAGCGACAGCCATTGCCGACCACATTATGTTAATTTGTTCATGGGTCATCCTACAATAGCCTATTCCACAGGTGCGGCGCCTCATCGGTGCAATCTCACCGCTCTTACTCCTTGTGCAGAGCAGGATCACTGCTGCCTCTTTGTGTCAGTTCACACATAAGCTGGCATCCCAAAATCCGCCCAGCGATGACAGCGGCACTGGTTAAAGTAGCGTGTTCTACGACGCCGGCTTTATGTACGAACGCGCAAAAGTCAAGACTGCTCTGCATCAGTCACTACCGCCCTCGTTGGCTCGGAGACATTGACCCCTTTTCCACGTCTGTACTTTCACACATGACATGAAGCAATACAAAGGGGCCCCGTGTGAGAAAAAGATTTAGACTTGCTACAGGAACAGCACACGTTTTAGAAGGCCGCGCGATAAAAACTGAAAATGTGATGCGCTGTCGTCGTCTCTGACTTGTGTCGTGAGCATGTCTTGTGCTGTGATATCGCGTTACACCGAGTTCTACTGAAAGCAAAGACCAGTGAGGGTTTGTTGTACTCAGTTGAGAGGCTGGCCTGCACTAAATCCATTAAGTGTGTTGTTCTGTTCTAACAAGAACTTCCCAGATGGGGTGGTTGGATTACTCAAGCAGCTAAGGGGTTAAGTCACACACATACATTTATTTATATATATATATATATATATATACGCACACACACTTCTTTTTTTTTTAATGACCAAATTAATATTGTACAGCTGCTGACATATTAAAGCACTAAACATACTCAACCTCACATTGTTCCCACAAGCCCAAGGGTCTTATATGTCCTGAAAAAAGAAAAGTCAGACAATACAAGGAAAAGTAATTGGCGTTTTATTACTGTAAATGTCTTTGTAGTGATATCACACTAACTGCCTTAGCGGTGTTATTTGTTTTTTTGTATTAACTTGGAAACGTCTTCCGTGAAGATATGATCCTAAAAAAAATAAAGGACCTCTTAATTTTTTGCTCAATCTGTGCTATGTACAATAAATAGATACAGCTATTTTCACTGTTCAAGTTGGTGCTCAGCCATCCCTTCTCAAAAGACAAAAAGGGGTTTTTATCCCACTATTTTCTGATGTGCAAATAAATGATTCTGACTCATAGTTTAGGTGTGAACATCTGCAGAGGTGTTAAAAGCTACAGCATTGTATCTAAAAAACCATCCAGCCAGACATTTGGCCTTATCTTATTTACAGATCACGCAGGAAGTAAAGACACCTCATCCCACAGCGGAACGTTCCGCTTACATGTCGCAGCATTGAAAAATCCACAATCTTCGGTTGAACTGATGCCACAATCAAATAAGTCGCAGTCTCCCTTGTGGTGCCTGAGAGCTCTGCAAAAGTATACGGACAATCACAATGCTCTACCAGTGATTGGCAGATCACGATTCACATGACTGTTGAAAAACTAAATCTACCAGTGAGTGGTGGTGGTGGTGGTGGTGATGGTGGTGGTAGTGTGTGCGCGTGTCAGAGGGAGCATCTGTGTAATGAGTGTGCAGCTCATGCATGCCATTAGTTTGAATACAATTTGTAAGCCAGTGAAACAATGACTGGGCTGTCAACGTAGGAGGGTTGCTCAAGACTAGAGGCCTTTTAAATTATAATTCTTTAAAGACCATGCACCATTGTTCTTTGCCGACAGCAAAAAAACAAAACAATTTAATACATTTTCCAATGCATTTGCTAATTAGTAATAAATCATGCTTTCCAGCTAAGCGTAAACTCTGACGACACCTGCCGAGAAAGATCCTGTCCACGACCACAAACTGTCACCAAACGTTGATCCATCAATCAAAGGCTACGTGGTGAGAACAAGCAATGCAGAAGATGTAGTGACATCTCCGCCTGTCAGCATAGCTATTCTGGGCCCTTTGATGAATGAGGCCTTCTACGTCAGCAAGTCCTCGAGCCACAAGCACTCTTTAGGTACATTTCATAAATACGGACCATCTTCCGCAGCTGGAACCCTGGCGGGGTTAGGCGGCTGCTTTGCAGAAGGTAATAATTGCAGTGGGACACGGAAATGAGAGTATAAGTGAGCTGGAGTCCAGCTAATCCAGCTCTGCAGCTGTGGAGGCCAACCTACTGAAAACGGATGCACAGAGAATAACTGAATTGGATTTCCGCTTCTCCCTTTCTTCCCAGACCACCTGCACAGAGCAGATGTGCTGCTGATTACTAATGTCCATGGGATGTTTTTTTTTCCAGCCCGCTAGGTCACCTAAAATGCATATATTTCTGATCATTAAACCTTCTAAAACTGCATGTTGAAAATGCATCTGTTAGTTTGCAGTGCTCTGGATCATTTCAGCAATGCCTGAGCCCAACATTTCCCTATCTAAACATAAGCAATTCCCAATTCTGTCTAAATAAACGTGGTGAATACTCAGGGCTTTGTTACTGTGTCTGCAAATGATGGTGATTAGTCAGCTGAATCACACCGTTCTAGCAGAAAACTTACATAAAACGGGGAACACCTCATAAACACGAAACATTGCAAGAACATGACCTGCTCGATAACCGCAGGCAGTTTTTTTCCCCTTTATCCACCAACTTGGTTGCATACAAACTGATCACTATGCAACCCCACCAGTTATAACTATCCAATTTCGATATATTCCAATAACGCTATTAATTACATAATTTATACTTCATCCAAAGTTAGCATACTGATCGTTGTGGCCTTCTGGTCAATTCGGCAGCCCCGTTTTCACCATTGAGGCAATGTACGTATAATAATTGTGTTGTTTTTAAACACATATCAGCCTGGTTGAGGTAGAAAAGGCACCCTGGCATCGACGACTATTTTAAGTTAACAGTAATAGGCTATTCTTTATGTCCCAACACTATATAGACTGAAGGGTTTCAGCTTAGGATACGCGACATGCCTTCGGTGTTCTTATCGTGTATAACCTCCGCACGTTTTTTCGATATTTAGGCTTAAACGTTCATATACATTCATATACGTATATAATGCACGGTGTCGCCCGACTTTTCAATTAGCATGATATCCAACGGAAAATCAGTCAGCGTACAACCCCTAGTAGATACATGTATCTGACAAGAGCAGACCATGTAGGTTGTATCAACCTGGATTCATTTTTCCAGCCTTTACCCCAGAACACGAAAAACATCAGCAATTATGTAATCTCGCCGTAAAGGGGGAAAGGGAGGTGTGTTGAAAGCAGGAACACGGTAAATTAGCGTTATTTTACCCCCGGACAAAAACGTGACTAACTGTCGCAGCTCCCCAGCTTTGGGGAAGGAGTAAAGAGGGAGAGGGACATTACAACAGAACAGCGCAAAAAAAAAAAAAACATACCGAATGCTGCGGATACGTCGCCGGAGACGCAGATTAGCCTGAAGAAAAACTTCCACCGAAACCAGTGTCAGCGTCCGGGCGGTCCTGTCAGCTACTGGGGCCACTTTCCGGACATTTTCGGCACACATAGGACGTGTGAGCCGAACAGTTCTTAGGCTTGTTGCCTTACTCGGAGACTGCAAATGAGCCAGAGCAGACTGCTAAACTGATGTTGAAACAAGGGCAGTGATTAGTCCAGAACTCGGAGAAGCCTGTGTGTCAGAGCTGCTGATTGGTCCACACGGAATGGGCGTAACTGCAGTACATTTAAAAACATAGTGTGATTTTAGTGAGGAAGAGCAACGTTTGTGTAGGTTCGGATACTTATAGAATATTTTAAATGAAATATAACGCATGCATTATTAAGAACATTGCAGCTGTATGATGCCGAAACTGCAGCAAGAAACACCTCACAATATTATTATTATTATTTATGTTTTTGCCTTTCATAGCTCCAGGGAGAGGATGCTAAATTATAGATTTCTTTTCGCTCACCAGAATGGCTTGATGTGCATTGTATGTTCGAGCAGAAAGCAAACACGGCTGTTTTTCAAAGACAGGTTATAAAGTGTTGAAAAAGCACACAAGGTATCCGTCAGCCTGTTCGGCCTTCAGTGTTGTTTGCTATCTATTAAGGTCAGAAAATACAAGTGATCTGTACAGAACTGTTATGCACATAAGAAAGAAAAAACCCATATAAATACAACGTGAAGCTCTTTTTAATTATGAAATTGTATGTAGACTGGTGTTTTTTTTTCTAAATTACATTTTTTGGAAAGGCAGGTGCCGTGCCCCTTAAAAGAAAGATACCTCTAAATAAATTATTTTGGGCAGAAGGTCACAGAAACACTGACATGGCAGGACTGAAAGCACACCAGGACTCGGGCCGTAAAAAGGAGGGCAGATCAAGCCTTTCACCAAAGACACTGAAAGAGAAAAGATAGACAGTGATCAATGATGCCATTATTGTTGGTGCTCTGATTTCAGTCACAGGGAACAGTCAGCAGAGGCGAGCACTCAGCATCTCCAGTAGAGTTCAAAAGTGCATATTATTCAATATGAGCAGACAGGAAAAAAAAATGAGAGCAAACATTAGGAGTTTAAACAGCATGGGATCTTTTAAGGCTTCTGCAGGCCTATTTTAAAATCCAGTCCCATGCAGTATACAGTATTCAGCACTTTGGATCTCATATATTGTTGCTTGATTTTCATTTTTGTAGCTGTGGACAAACACATTTATTGTCTCTTGATATCTGCATGGGACATTATGCTTTGATTTTAAGAGCTTTTTTAACTTCCACCAAAGATGATCAAAATAAAATTGAATGGGTGGAGTCTGCATCAACATGAAATGAAAAAATTACTTTTATATCCTTTGTATATGCTGATG